AGATTTCTGCAGAAATAAAAGAGTCTGATGGCAAACTAATTACATGTAAGTAATTAGTAAACTAACTTACATGTAAGTTTCAGCTGAAACGGATACAGCATGTAGAAAGTCTTCGCTCAGGGACTTTCTTAAAAGTTTTTTTATAACATGTTTATAGATGTTGAAATAAAGTCAAAATAGAAATACTGATAAATTATCGAGCTCTTGAATTGTTGCGTGTAGCAACATATTTTTGCTTTAAAACACTATATGGTCTGGATTTTTGTTTGCATATTTCTCTGTAGCTATGACAACACGTGATGGATGATAGTAAGAGACTGTGACGTGACGTTCTTGCCGAAACTCATTTTGAAATTCTTTGTATAGTTGATTGTCTGTTTTACCATCAATGGGTAATATCAGATGGAAATTGGGTATCTGAGATAGCATTTTTGCGCAACGACACCCATCAATGTACCATTGCGGCATCAGTATCCTTGGAGAACCACGCTCAATATTACATAAGAACTCTCGTAATGCCGATAACTGCATTATCAAATGCTCAATAAAGGAAAATTCCAATGCTTCTCCGTGGAGTTTTAAGCAGTTGATATGTTCAGCTGTCGATGACAGTCGTGGTGAGCAACCCATGAGAATGGTTAGCTGACGAATATCTGGAATACGCGACAAGAATAGTTTGTCTAGTTCAATAAACTGGCAATAGTGAAGGTGCATGGAAACAATGGTGGGAGGTTCAAACATCTCATATGATGCAATCGTACGAAACCATTCGATATCGAGTTTTTGAATTGTTTTTGTTTGAATAATGATCTCATGTAATCTTTGTCTCGTTGATGGACTCTCACAAGCATTTTCTCGTAATAATAGTTTCAGGCTAGATAATAGAGGATAAAACTTCAATTTCGACACCATACGAGGCAAATATAAGCCATCTCCCGTCAGTGTCAACGATTTTAACTGATAAAACGTTTCAATAGCTGGCAGAAAACGATACCATATTCCATAATCCGAGATATGCAGTGTTCGAACTTGTTCCGATCTTTGTAGCAAGATGCGTTCGATATCTTCACTGAAACTGGTCCCTGGCGCCATATGAACATCGGCGGGTATAGATTCGACTAGTAATTCGAATCGAGTATTGAGATCCGAAAACATTTTGATAATTTCAACCCCGGGAAGATAAGAAAATATTAGAAAAATTATTGAAAATATTATTATGAAAATACGATTTTTCAGCATATTACAGTCGTCTGTAGAAGAAAGCAAACAGAAAGAAATGAATTTTTTCGGTTGAAATATATAGCAGTGTTTTCATCGTTCTCTCGTCTATGCCTGATAAAAGATAAGAACAAAGAACAAAAAATGAGTGTAAGTGATATTTTTTCGAGTTTGTCATCTGTTTTTATGAGGGATTTTTTCGGAAATATCATTCATGCTGCTCTTCTGTTTATGAATGGTCATCTATTCTGGGTGAGAGGTTTACTTGAAAATTGTATTAGATTTTCTAAAGACCTAAAGACTTTTTATTCTCATTCGAATCGGATGGACACCTTTCGAGTAGACACGAATACCAAGAGCACAGCCATCACCTGAAAGAAAGCCACTAATGTCTTCGCATACGTAACCGTTATCAAAGAGTAGCATGGCTCTACCATATGCCTGTTCGAATCTCTTGTTGGCTGAAGGCTGCTCAGCAGCAGAAGCAACCTTCGTTGATTACCGCCACGAACGAGAGAAAAGAACCGACGGCGACGATGAGAAACAGAAGAGAAAGAAGATAGTAGAGACGACGACCACGAACAGAAAAGAGCAAAGCAGCATCAACAGCCATCATTTCTCGAAGATGAACAACATGAAGACCACCCGCATGTTCCATTGAAATATTTTCTTTATTAGTTTTGACACAAACGTAAGACTGTCAATGCAGCGTACAGAATTTCATAATAATAAATTCTTATTACTTTAATATAGTGATATTTCGACTTTTACAGTCATTTTCAAATAATACATAAAAGAAGAACACCGACAAGACGTAATACACACTAAGAACACATGACAGTTTTCTTTCCTTTAACTAGAACTCAACGAACTTTACAATTTTCTCCTTTTCTTTCTTTTTTTCTGAGGAGGTACATAAAGCATATCGGTGTTTAACAAAAACGATTTTGCTCAAAATCTAATATAAAGCTACGGTAAAGCTTGATATAGAAAAGTAGCTCTTGAAAAACTCTACAATATTCTGACTATAGAAGCGAACAGGAGTAATAGAAATTCCGACTCGGACAAAACATAATCGACGTCGAAAAAAATTAACGAAGTATAAGTAACAGAGACCGAAACGAATAGAAAAATATCGATTCGGGTTCGACTCGATTCGACTGGATCCATATTCGATTCGATTCGACCTACTTTCTCAAAATCTCAATTCGACCCGATTCGATTCGACTGACTTCATAGTCGTTTC